TTCTGGCATAGCGAAATTGAACCTAGTTCACCGTCCCTCTCAATTTCCATGCCTAGGAAATAGCTTATGGGGCCTCCATCATGCGTCTTGAACTTYGATGCAAGCTTCTTCTTAATCATTGCTAGGTCTTCTTTGTTTGGACACGCGATGATGAAGACGTCGACGTAGACGATATATAGCTGAATGCTTCTTCTTTCACTTTGGTGTAAAAACAAGCATCGTTTTTTCATTTGCTGAATCCAATGGAATACAAGACCTCATCAAGTGTTTTATTCCAAGCACGCCCTGATTGCTTAAGTCCGTAAAGCGCCTTGTTCAGTTTTAAAACTGCTTTAGGTTGATTGTTGTCCACAAAGTTTGGAGGCAGCTTCACATACAAAGTCTCGTGAAGCTCGCTGTTTAGATATGCATTTGTTATGTCTATTTGGTGCATATATAAACGTTTTTCTGCAGCTATCGCGAGAAGCATCCTGATTGTCTCGTATATAATTACTGGCGAAAATGTTTCCAAATAATTTACGCCAAATTGTTGCCCACGTCCTTGTGCAACTAAGCGAGATTTGAACTTCTCGACATTTCCATTTTTATCGCGTTTGCTTCGAAAACCCCATTTTGAACCAATCGCCATAATGTCCATGTGCCGTTTTCTTGGAGTGCTCTGTACTCCGTTTCAATAGACTCTCTCCAATCTTGCGCATATTGACCCTTTAACGCCTCTTCGACTGACTGGGGTGTCTATGTGTCTGCTTGATCAAACACACTGTTGAGTCTCGTCTGGTACTGCTTCGTTGGTCGTCCTGGTTGACCATTTCGGATTATCGTAGGCCTGCCCGGCCCGCGCTGCTGTCGCGTTACTGGAGCATCATTGTTGTTGTTTTCAACTTCTGGACTCAATTCGTTCTCTTGCCCTTCTTCTAATTCCGGTGTCATCTGCTCATGACCTCGAAGCTTCGGTGTATCAAGGCTTATTATGATCGTCATTAAATCATTACTCGTGTCTAACATTTTAAATTGTTTTTGTGTCAAACTCGCCCTCTTGGAATTTAACGTCACGCCTTTTGATAACACTCCGCTTCTCCGGATCGTATAGACGGTATGCCTTTGCGGTTTAAGAATACTCCTTTCCTTTTGCCTGGAATTTGCTTGTCTTAGCCTTGTCCAGAGCAAGCACGCGAGATCCAAACACTCGCAAATGCTTCACAGAAGGCTTCCGATCCCTCCACATTTCGAAATGAATGCCTCCATTTAACGCTTTTGTGGGACATCTGTGGCGCAAATACACTGCCGTTGTGACAGCCTCTGCCCACAAAAACCCACCAAGCCTTGCATGGAATATTATACTTTTCGCCATTTCTACTATGGTCCGGTTGGCACGCTCTGCAACGCCGTTTTGCTGAGATGTATAGGGTCTTGTCAACTGTTTTTGTATACCGCATTCAGTCTAAAAATCAGTAAACTGTTTATTGGCATACTTCGTGCCATTATCGCTGTGTAAGCCTTTATTTTCTTGCCTGTTTGGCATTTGAAGACTTCGTTTTTTGCTTTCATTATATAGACAAATATCATGCGCGAGTAATCGTCAATAAATGTCACAAAATAACGATTGCCACCGATTGACTTGACATTCATTGGTCCTGTTCAGGCATGAACATATGAATATACGAAGATC